AATACAATAAAAGGTTGGACGAAGAATTCAACCTTTTCTCCTACCTCTGAGACACAGCCTGGATCTATCAGCTCTCCTCTGGATCACAGAACTCTCCAGGTCCAGGGCCCCCTGTCTCCTCCATTAACCCCCATACTCTGTTCTCCACTGTGCAGCCAGATGGAGCCTATTAAACCCAGGAGAGACCAACTCCTTTCTCTTATGCAAATATCCTATTATCTCCCTAATACATACCCAAATTATCAATTGACCACTTTACAAGATTCTTCCTTGTGCCTTGTGTTTAACACAAACAAAGTCGACCTGAGGTACCTATTCCCAGCTCTGTGGCATCTCCAAGCATTTGCAGGTGCAAGAGTCCCTTCCCAGATAACTTCTCTTAAATGCTTACGCTGGCTGCCTGTGTGGACCAAAAAGAAAAAAAAAAAATAGGAAAGGGGCTCATAAAACCCTGACCAGTCTAGGGGAGTCCCCCATAATATCCTTACAAACTGAGAGACAGAAAAGATCATTATATATGGTCGGAAATCAAAACTTTGTAACTAAAAGCAAGTCATGGCAAATAGTCATGACTTAGACCTCTATCTTCCCTGAGGAAGGTGAATTTTTACCTTAACTGAGCCCACCTTTACATTTTTGCACCTTTGCTAACATATCTTTGGAATGTCATGATAATTTTCTTTTTTCTTACCCCTCAGGGCACAAACACTGCATGAGAGCAGAGACCAAAAAACCCCTCAATGTTATTGTCATGTTAATTCATTAAAAAATAACTATCTTATACCCAATAATGTGTAACAGTTTGTGTCCATTTTTACCTTTTATTTAACATCAAGGATTTTCCTGCTTTGTCTTCTCCCACCTCGCTAACCCATCCCCAAATGATTTCAACTTCCAAACTTGTATGTCTACCTTTTTTATTTTGATGTATAAAATAAGTGGTAAAACTGCCATTTTCCGAAGCACTTTCATACTCCGATGAGATTTTTTCCCTGGAAACTGTCATCAGTTCTGTTCAGATCAACATTTCAAAAAGTCTCTATAGTTTGAATGTCTCTTATGTTCATACCAGAAATGGGAGCACCTTATATTACCCATGACCTGCATTCAGGATTGGGGTATCCCCAGGGTCTCCTCATTTGAAAGCTGGAAAATTACCAAGGGAAGTGTTTTTAGACACTATATGGTAATGTCATCAACAGATAGAGGCTGGGACACCCTGTCCTTCTTTGTCTGTTTTGATAATGATTTTCAACTTATGCACCTGTGGGAAAAAGCAATCAAGCATCCTTCAGCTCCAAGTAAGCAGGTCTCAGCTGTATTTCAACCCAGCCCTGGAGTCTGGTGACCTCTGGCTAAGTATCTCCCCAGTGTGGCCTCTTACCAGCTCTGTGACCTAGAACAAGGGCTCTTCTTCCTGTGCCTCACTGTCCTCATCACCCCAGTCCAATTGGTTTTCTATCTCAGAAGCACCTAAACAGCTTTGAAAACCATGTCACAGCCTGTGTCTCTCTCAGTTCACAACCATCCCAGGCTCCCAGGACCCTCAGAATGAAGGTGTAACTCCTATGCCTCCCAGTTATGACATGATGCTGCCTCAGACTGTTGAAACCAGATATAAGGCCCAGACCAGATTTGTGGGTTTATCTGGGTCAAGGACACCTGCAGGTGTTTAGAAACCACACCAGGCGGCACCACAGCTGGTCACCCTCGCCAACCCCATAACACCATGTGTCACCCACGAGCACCTAAGATTCCTGACGCTGGGGCTAGGGTTGCAGGATGTGATGGGTGCCCTGCACCCGTGCTGCAGGGCTCGGTGGGCTGAGGAGGGAGGGCCCAGGGATGCACAGTCTCCTCGGCCACACGCCTCAGCGTGTTCACTGCCATTGGACTCTGTGGCAGGGAAGTGGTGGGAGCGGCAGACAAGGAGGGTGTCCCTGGTGTTGGGGTTACTGTCCCAACCCTGACTCCAGACACCCAGACAGCGTACTTGACCTCACAGCTTCTGTGGGGAGCAGCGCACTGGCACCTTCTCCTTTCCATCCTGTGACCACGAGACCCTGATCCTGTAATAACAAAACTTAGAGAACAGGAATCCCCACCAGGAGACAGATGGAAGAATGCCCTACAGTATGGCCCCAATGGAAATGCCTTTCATGAGTCATTATTAACTCAGCCTTGTGATATTCTGCCTGCCTTCTGGGTAATTTAAGGTGTATATTCCAAGAATGGGATCTTGTATTTCCCCAGCTGCCTCGAGGAGTGGATTGGCAGATTTACACCCCAAGAATTCCCTAAGAATACTAAATCCACTCTATTCCCACCCCTGTGGACAGTATTTCTTGGGTGAGGAAGTGCCTGCTATGCCTGCTAGGCCTTTGATTCAGACTATGGGGCATGTGCTCCCTCAGGTGAATGTGGTTGGGGGATGTTGCTCTAGTCCCTAATGCTCTCTATCCTGCATCAGGAGGACCCACATGGCAAATTAAATGTAATAAATAATACACTAATACTCCAGTGAATCCATGCCTAGTGCAACCAGAAGTCTTAGCTCTTCCTGGGCAGCAGCGACTGGAATCCTCACTGATTTGATCTGATGTCTCCTACTTACGTTATACATTTTTTCAAACAATGGAGTACATGTCAATGACATCAAAGACAAGCAATTATAGGAAATCAGCCCAGAAAGTGCCTATAAAGTTCCAAACCTACCTACCAACCCAATATGCCAATAAAGCTAGTGACACTAACTGGTTTGGTCCGAAGTACATCCTGTGGTATATTAAATACGGTTATTAAACATATTAATGTGGTATATTAAACACTAGGTTAAAAATAAATATACATATGATAGCTACTGAGGATCTGGCCAAAAAGCTTGTCATGTGCCCTGACTGGAAACTGAACCAGAGACCCTTTGGTTCCCAGGCCTTCATTCAATCCACAGAGCCACATCAGACAGGGCTCTTTGAATATTTCTTGCCAATTCCTTCTAACCTGCAATTTCTTTTGAGAAATCACCTGATAGTCTTAAGGGAATTCTCTGTAGGTAACTAACTTCTTTCCTTCTTCTGCTTTTAAGATTCTCTCTTTACCTTTAAACTATGGCATTTTATTTTATTTTTTTCTTGACTGTAAGCTTCCTCTTCTGTGAGGTGATCTGCCTTCTTTACTTTGGATGATGGAACATAATAGAAACTTAATAGCTTAATATATTGTTGCCAGCATCTTAAACTTCCATTTCCAAACCCCTCCTTTTTACAAACATTCTATTTATTTCTTTTTAGAGAGAGGGGAAGGGAAGAAGAAAGAGAGGAAGAGAAACATCGATGCGCAAGAGATACATCAATCGATTGTCTCTTGCTGCCATAAATAAGAGACCTGGCCCACAAGCCAAGCATGTGCCCTGACTGGGAATTGAACTAGCAACCTTCCAGTTTGCAGGCTGACACTCAACCCACTGAGCCATAACAGCCAGGGTTAATCTTCAGCATTTTGATTATGATGTATCTTGAAGTGGGCATCTTTTCATGCATGTTGTTTGAGACTGTGCTTTCTGGAATTGCATGTGTATTTACTTCATGAAATTAGGGTGTTTTTTTCTCTCTCACTATTTTTTAAAACAGATTTCCAACTTCTTGTTCTTTCTCTTTTCCTTCTGGCACCCCTGTGATGTGAATGGTGGATCTCTTGAAGTTGTCCCAGAAACTGCTTATAGTACCCTCATTTTCTTTGGATTCATTTTTCTTCTGGTTATTCTGATTGGTCAGTTTTTGTTCCTTCTCTTCCATATTGATTTGGTTCTCAGCTTTATCACCTCAACTGTTGCTTCCCTGCAAATTTTTTATTTCAATTAGTGTATCCTTCATTGCTGACTGGATCCTTTTAATGCTGCTGAGGTCCTCATTAAGTTTTTAGAGCATCCAAATAAAGTTTTGAAGTTGGCATCTGATTGATTGCTAATCTTCATTTCATTTAGCTCTTTCTCTGGAGTTTTAATCTGTTCTTTTATTTGGGCCATGTTTGTCTCCCTGTCTTGGCAGCCTCCCTGTGTTTGTCTCTATGTATTAGGTAGAGCTGCTTTAACTCTCTGTCTTGGTAGTATGGCCAAATGTAGTAGGTGTCCTGTAGGGTCCAGAGGTACAAATTTCCTGATCACTGAAGTTGGGTATTAGAAGTGAACCCTTTCTATGAGCTGAATATACCCTCCTCTTGTACTTGAGGCTTTGTTGCTGTTGACAGATCAAAAAAAGGGATTTACCCAAGCCAGTCAGAAGGAAGGATTGGCTGTAACCACTCTGTCAATCCAGAAGGAAGGATTGACCACCAACTTCTGCCATCCATGGATGATCAGCTATGCGGGGGCAGGGTGGTGGTGCTCTGATGTGGTCCGTAGCTGTCCACTGGGTGCTCTGTCCCTGGAATTCACCAGGTGGTTCAGGCCAAGGTCAGCTCCTACCTGTCTTTTGCCCTCAGCCACCCTGCCAGAGATACAAAGCAATCCGAGATGGCTGCTACTTGTGCTGGGCTTGGAGATTCCCAGAGAAAGCCATGCTATGGAGCTAGGCAGGCTTCTGCTAGTGTCAGACCTAGGGCTCACTGTGGCTAGGTGTTGTTTGATAGAATTCAGGAAGTTATGAAACATGAGCCAAGACCAGACATTCATGTAGAAAAGTAGTATAGGAATGCCCACAAGTTGGGTGGGGCGGAGTCTCTTTTAAACTGTTAGACATGTTGATGGAGAGTCTCAGATATGGCACCACCTTGCCTGCTCTGGGGTGTGGGGGGAGGGTTTAGAAAAGGGACCATTACCTCGCTGACCTTAATGCCAGATACTTCAGTGTCTCCCTGTGTATCAATGGTACCTTTCAAGCTCCTGTGTCAGTGCTGGAGCAGAGAGAATGAGTCTGAGTAGGTGAGTCTGCATCTGGGGTCTTTTTTTTTAATTGAAAATGTGTTTATAGGGATGGTTCCCCACTTACCTTGATTCAGGGTACTTTTAGTGTTGCTTCCTTCTGAAGGAGCATCCTTCTGTAAGCCTTGCTTTTCCTCCTGTAGGCTGACAGAGGACAGTGGAGCAGCCAACACACAAAACTGTTTGTGCATGGCTAAAGATGGTGCTGATTTTATAGCATCCTTGGCATTTCACATCCTTGAAGTAGGAATTGGGGCTCTGCACCAGGCATTTCTTCTGTTCCCTCTTCTCTTCTGGAGAGGGATGAAGGTGATCCTTTATGAGAAGCATGTTGTTGTGGGGAGGTTGTCATGGCCAGAAAGCTGTGTCTAGGGTCTTTAAGAGAAATTGCTTGGGACTTAATTTTCTTGCACTAACAGAATCCCCACTTGTTTTTGCAGACAAAAGTTATGGGGACTTATCCTCCTGGCACTGGAACTCTGGTGTGGGGTTCTGCTGTGGGGCTGGACTCCTAGCTCCCAAGATATCTCTCTGGAATTTTTATCCACTACATGTGGGTGGCGGTCCAACCCATTTCTCATCATTCCCCTACTACTAGTTTGGATGAATGTGGTTTCCTTAATTCCCTCTTCCCCAGACTTCCATTCAACTCAGTATCTGATGGTTCTGAATGATGATTGTCCTATATTTTTGCTGTAATGTTGATGTCATTGTGTGAAGAGTTAAGCCATATCTGCCCATGCTGCCATCTTGACCAGAGGTCCAGAGACAATTTAGAGTGAGGCACAAAGGGACCAAACATAACAGAAACAACGAGACTCTTGAAATTCTTAGGGGCTGGTAGGAAAAATTAGAAATGGATTCTGCTCAGTTAATAAAGTTGCTCAACTTGGAAGTGTCAGAGCCACAGGATATCAAGTAATGTGTGGCCCTAGAATATGCAGATAAAGCCTTGAGGTCATTCTCAGAAAAGTGGCAAGCCCCTGTGGAGATTTAAGAGTATCATCCATGCATTCGACGGATGACTCTGTCACGTGAAATCTGGTGGACATCTAGAGCATGATGTTGGCCATCAATGCACTCTATCCACACTGAGGAGCTGTATCTACTTCCTATCCAGGAATAACTGTATTCCTGGGACATTGCCATCCAGAGTCAGGTCTTACCTCTTCTTTGACAAAAGGCAAAATCCTGACAGTACCTCCTGACAGTGATTCGGAAGGCCTATTAGCCCTGCTGGATTAAGGTACTTTATTCAGTTTGTCCTGCAACCTGGCCATGGAATCAAACTACATCAGCCAAAGCTCCCCTGAGACCTAGGTGAGCCTCTGAAATAGGTGACATAATTAGTAAATGATTACTGAAGAAATGAAACATGATGTCATGGCTTTCCTTTAACTCTTCTAAATTTCTCGGCTCACACTTCATTATATCTTTCTCACCTCACTATTTTTCTTCAAGTTTTCAGGAGTCAAAAGGACCCACACTTTGTAGAAAGAAGATATTCAGTCACATTTCCAGCAGAGCCATAGCTCAAGTTAGTTCTGTCATTCTTAGAACTAAGTGTCCTTTATGTATTACCCATTGGGACTTACCTGTCTTAGGGCTTCATAGATCATTTTCTCATATAGCTATTTTAGTAAAACTCTTGTATATCCCCACTCATCAACATTTCCTTTTTTCAGAAATCATGAATCCACCATGGCTGGTGTGCCTCAGTGGATTGAGCACCTGCCTGTGAACCAAAGGGTTGCCAATTCAATTCCCAGTCAGGGCACAGTCCTAGGTTGTGGGCCAGATCCCCGGTGGTGGGTAGATGAGAGGCAACCACACACTGATACTTCTCTTCCTCTCTTTCTGCCTCCCTTCCCCTCTAAAAATAAATATCTTTTAAAAAAAGAAATTCTCAATCTATAACTCTTTCACAGAAATAATCCCCAGTCCCCACCCAGAAACTGTCACTACATTTATGGGGAAAATGATCATTTCCCTGCCAGGTGAAGAAATATAAGAATCCAAAATGTGTTTCTCATGTTCATATGCCCACTTTCCAAACCTTCAAGGATGGCAATATCACAGCCATTCTTGTACAAAAATGTAAATTTTGTACAAAACCACTATTTCCAGGTAGTTAATATTCACAGAAGTTAAAACTACATTTTATCTCAGAAAATTCAATGAGAATTTCATCTGCAAAAACAATTATTTTTGGCCCTGGATGCTGTGTCTCAGTGGAGTGAATGCCAGCATGTGAACTGAAAGGTCACTGGTTTGATTCCCAGTCAAGGTACACACATGGGCTGTGACCCATGTCCCCATAGTGGGCATTCTAAAGGAAATTGATAGGTGTTCTTACACGTGGATGTATCTGTATCTTTCTTTCTCCCTCCCTTCCCCTCCTTCAGATGAAAATGGTAAATCACTAACATTTAGAAGGGCTTTAAAGATTTAGCACTAATCCAAGACATTTCACTAAAAGCAGTGAGGAAGAAAAGACGAGGTAAAAGGAGATTTTTAGAGTGTCCACACATGCCACCTGGTTCCTTTAAATGGATTGTTTAGTAAAATGTCATGGATGCGGATTGCAAATATCACCAAAGATATGCTAGACTCACCCTCCTATTTGAAAAAGCCCATGAACCATAATTCTGCTAACCGGAACACAGATACATTGATTCATCCTCATTTGGCCAATGTACTTGTCTAGCACAATCAGGGCTAAGAATCTCAGTTGTGATGAGAATGTACTGGGCATTGTAGCAAGGGCTTATGTTCAGAAGGACTACTCAAAGATCTCTGGTGCAGACACAGGGACACTGGAAAGGAGGTTACTGAACAAGGTCAGGGCTGCAGGGAATAAATGGTAAGTACCATTGTCTCCCCCAGTCAGTCCTGACAGAGTACAGAGTCAAGTGGGCACTGAGTTTCCTATATGAAGAAGAGGTGAACTCTCCACCAAGGAGATAACAATACGGTAGGTCTCCAGCATCACTTCTGAGTATGCCCCAGGTATCACATTCAGCTGTCCTCAACAGTGCAGAGTGCATGTCAGTGACATGTACCAAAAACACCTGATGGGTCAAACTGAGGCATTATATTCACTGCAGTGGATAAAATTAAAGCCTGTCATGCAAAATGTCAGTGAATATGCAGAAAGACTTCTGAGTACCCAACTGTGTGTTAAACTTAAAAAGGAGGATGACAAAATGCAGCCAAGGCTCAAAGTAGTTTCACCTGGAAAAACCACTGGATCTGACAGATAGTGTCCCAAGAATACTATGAGGTAGAGGCTAAGCATTCTAAGACATCAGAAAAATGCAAAAACTTCCCCATACTTGATTTCCTCATATGATCCTCATATTTGATTTCCTGAGAAATACACTAATAGTTATTGACCTACTGATGGATGAATTAAAAAAAAATAATCATCATCAAAAACCAAATCCTGGAATATTAAAACCAGTGTTTACTGAATTTTGTTATTTCTATTGACCCTCATGAGGGCAAGGTTAGTCCCTTCATTAATTTCCTATCAGTCAGTGAAGTGAGTTTTGGGGAATTTTGTTGACACCCAGAGATGCCCATGTGGAGAATCCATACAGATACCTAGAAGCCCTGAAGCCACCTCCTCCCTGTGGTAGTCTGTGTGGATAGCAGCAGATATGGGAGATCTGCAAAACTCCATTCATTTTCCCCAAGAACTTGGGGCAGAAGGTTCCAGGGGGTTTTGGCTTGTGGGTGGTACCCAAAGTTGGTAACTAAATGTAAGGCAACTACTCTTTGAACAAGAACCAAGGCAGGGGGATCAAGGCTGCTCTTTATCACTATATTACAAGGGGAAATACTGAGGCCCATATAGAGCATCGATTTTCTTTCTTTTTAATTTTTGGCCTCCCCCCGCCGTTTTTTTGAAGATTTTATTTACTTATTTTTAGAGGGGGAAGGGAGGGAGAGAGAGAGAGAGAGAGAGAGAGAAACATCAATGTGCAGTTGCTGGGGGTTATGGCCTGCAACCCAGGCATGTACCCTGGCTGGGAATCGAACCTGGGACACTTTGGTCCCAGCCCGAGCTCAATCCACTGGGCTACGCCAGGGCATCGATTTTCTATAATCCTAACAATAGTCACACCAAAACTTTAAACCCAGGTTGCACTGTCCAAGGTATGGGGAGGATCTAATCACTCATCTCTTCTCTTTGCCTTCCGAGAGGGCTCAAGAAATACTTGTTCATCCTCATACCATCAATTTCACCAATTTCCCCTCTCAAGTCCTGCTCCAGCCCAGCAAACCCCAGGTGACAGACCATGAAAATGGGTGAACACTAAAAAGGAAGGCTTTTTATTATATTACTGTTTGCACTAACAAAAGTGATAAAGTGTGTTAATAATGCAGAGTATTCCTTAAAAGGATATATGTACCTACTACGTATTGTACAGCAAAAAGTCTGAAGAATTAGGAAATATTTTCCACTATTAAGAACAATTATTCCAAAACCCCCACAAATTTTCATAAGGTAAAAATTACTTGTTGTTCAAGGATTGAAAGTGGTGACACTGCAACACATATCTTTGCTATTTTATCACCTATTATTTACAGGAGAGTAGCTGAAGTTAATAAAACAACAGATAAATTATGTAAGCACATAATATACTAAAAATATATTAGTAGTGCATATACACCTGCAAAAATGCTCATTATAAATCTGTAGGGAAATGCAACTAAAACAACAGAGAGGGCAAGATGAACATGTAAAAAGAGCCAGAACTGATAAAAATAAAACACTCAAGATTTTTTTAGATGGGGAGAAACGACCCACATACACTATGTGTAAGGATGTGTAAAGTCACAACTAGTTTAGGTTGTACTTTGTTAGGTTCTTTAGAATTTAAACATGAAATTCTAAGACATGGCCGCACTGTGAACATATAAAATTAAATTCAGAGGTTTCCTCAGAAAGTTTTCTTCAGTGTCATTGCACTGGGAAAAAAAAAACACATTTTCCAAAATATAACCATGTACACAGTGAGAACACTCCAATGATAAAAGGGCATAAATTTATGGCTAGAGATTTCACATGATCACTTCACACTTGAACCATTTAACAAGTTTGAACTGTAATTAAGGTGAGTATGACTCTGAGATAAAATATTTCCTAAATTAGCCCTGGCTGGTGTGGCTCAGTTAAACAAGTGCTGGCCTGCAAACCAAAGGGTCGCTGGTTTGATTGCCAGTTGAGGCAGATGCCTGGGTTGTAGGCCAGTTCCCCAGTGGGGGGCACGCAAGAGGCAACCACAAATTGATGTTTTGCCCCCTCTCTTTCTCCTTCCCTTCCCCTCTAAATAATAAGCAAAAATTTTTTTTTGAAGAAAACTGAAGGAAAAAAAAAAAAGAAACCCACTTCCCACATTCACTCCACTCATAAGGCTTTTCTTTTTTGTGAACTATTCATGATAATTTGGGTGACTGTTACAGCTATAGGATATCCTATATTCAAAGCACTCATAAAGCCTATTCCCTTTGTAAACTCTGATAATACCAAATTACTGGTAAAAGATTTCCGAACTTTACTGCATTTAAAAAGTCTTTATCCAATGTAAACATTTCAATGATGACAAAAGGCAGAACTACTCATATTTTTCCACATTAACTGCTCTCATATGGTTTTCCTCCCGAATGAACTCTATAGTGTTGAATAAGGGAAGAGCTTTGTCTAAAACATTTCTTACATTCACTACACTCATAAGGTCTTTCACCAGTGTGAATGCGCTGATGACAACGATAACCATTCCGAGTGGAAAAAGATTTCCCACATTCACTGCACTCATAAGGCCTTTCTCCAGTATGTATTCTCTGATGAATACGAAGAACAGAGCTACTGGTAAAAGATTTCCCACATTCACCACACTCATAAGGCCTTTCTCCAGTGTGAACTCTCAGATGACACCGAAGGTCAGAGCTATAGGCAAAACATTTCCCACATTCACCACATTCATAAGGCCTTTTGCCAGTGTGAACTCTGTGATGCTTACGAAGGGCAGAGTTCATGGTAAAAGATTTCCCACATTCACTGCACTTAAAAGGTCTTTCGCCAGTGTGAAGCCTCTGATGAGAATTAAAGTTTTCTTTCCTCTTAAAAGATTTCCCACACTCACTGCACTCATAAGGCTTTTCTCCAGCGTGTACTCTCTGATGACAAATAAGGTAAGAACTACAGGTAAAAGATTTCCCACATTCTGTGCACTCATAAGGCTTTTCTCCAGTGTGAACTCTCTGATGACAAATAAGGTAAGAACTACAGGTAAAAGATTTTCCACATTCAGTGCATTCATAAGGCCTTTCTCCAGTGTGAACTCTCTGATGACAATTAAAGTGATATTTCCTTCTAAAAGATTTCCCACAATCACTGCACTCATAAGGCTTTTCTGTAGTGTGTACTCTCTGATGATCATGGAGGGCAGAGTTCCTGGTAAAAGATTTCCCACATTCACTGCACTTATAAGGCCTTTCTCCAGTGTGAACTCTGCGATGACAATTAAAGTAATATATTCTCCTAAAAGACTTCCCACATTCACCACACTCATAAGGCTTTTCCCCAGTGTGAACTCTCTGATGATCATGGAGGGAAGCACTACTGATAAAAGATTTCCCACATTCAAGGCACTCATAAGGCCTTTCTCCTGTGTGAACTCTCTCGTGGTCATGGAGGGCAGAGCTACTGGTAAAAGATTTCCCACATTCATTGCACTCATAAGGCTTTTCCCCAGTATGAACTCGCTGATGGTAACGGAAAGCAGAGCTACTGGTAAAATGTTTCCCACATTCACTGCACTTATAAGGCCTTTCTCCAGTGTGAACTCGCTGATGGTATCGGAGGGCAGAGCTACTGGTAAAAGATTTCCCACATTCTATGCACTCATAAGGCCTTTCTCCAGTGTGAAGTCTCTGATGATAACAGAGGGCAGAGCTACTTGTAAAAAATTTTCCACATTCTATGCACTTATAAGGCCTTTCTCCAGTGTGTACTCTCTGATGACATTTAAAGTCATATTTCCTCTTAAAAGTTTTCCCACATTCACCACACTTATAATACTCTTCTCTAGTGAGAAGTCTCTGATGATCATGGAGAGCAGGGCTACTGGCAAAAGATTTCCCATATTCAACAAACTCATAAGGTTTTTCTCCCGTGAAAAGTCTATGAGGAGCAGAGAGAGCCGAACTACTGGTAAAAAATTTTCCACATTCACAACACACAAAACACTGTCTTCCTGTAAGGAAATCATGGTCCTCAACAAGTGTGTGGTCACAGACAATGGCTTTCTTGCATTCTTCTGGGTTGTAATAATGTTGTATACTTTGAAAAATCTTTCCAGAATCAGAGATTTCCTTTGCCCTGTGCATGGCGTGAGTAGCCAGTTTCTCAAGATGTCCTGAGCTGATGAGCAAGCATTTTCCAACCTGACTAGAGGTACAAGGCTTCTGTGACACATGGAAATTGCAGCTCTTTGCAAGTGACACCCTGTCCACACTGCTTATGAAACCATTCTCTGTTGTGTCCTGCTCCTGGTGCTGGTGATTCTTTGTACTGAAATAAAATGGTTTTGCACATGCCCCACACCTCAGCAGGGGACTCTGTTGTGTTCCCTGGTGGTCAACCAAGAGGAAAATGTCTCTCAAGACACACCCACAACTCTGACAGGGGTGGCTCTTCTGGGAAGTCAAAGCTGCCTTGGTATTCTTAGCCTGTGAGACTCTTACAGATAAGTTTTGTTCAGTGGGTGCCTCCACATCCTCTGCTCCACAGCAGCAACCTGAACAAAAAGAAATGCTGGTGAAATACATAGTGACATATTGTGAGGGAGGGACTTTTCAGATCACTAATTTCCACCTGTCACATCAAGGCATGGTTCCATGCAACAATTGTCAAGACAAGTGAGACAGACTCTGAAAAAGTGGTGGCTGTGCATTACTAGACCAGTAAGGTTAATAAATAATGGGCACCTCATTAAACAAAGTACACTGGGATGAAACAGGACACAAGGAAGAAAGATAGGGGTTAGAAGTTGTCTCACTACTGGTGGCTGCCTACAAAAGCCTTCCTGCTGGTGATGTCAGGCTTTGTAGAGGATATGAATGTGCCCCAAACTACAAAAATCTACCACAGCAGAGCAGATATAGTACAAGGTTCATACACAAACATAGACCCCTCAAGGTGCAATAGACATTGACCAAAGTTGGAGAGCACACCAAAAAGACTCCTCAGAAAAATGGGTGTGGCGTAGAGGATACAGACGCAGATATTAGCCCTGGCTGGAAGTAGAAATGATGACTATGTGAACTAACAGGCAAAGTGCCAACACTGTGAAAAGACAAGTAGATTAGGGTGTAGCCAGTGGCAATGGTGACAGAATACAGTTAAACAGAACAGGATCCTCTTTATGTTTTAACAAAACCATGATATCCCTGGCTGGTGTAGCTCAGTGGACTGAGCATGGGCTGAGAACCAAACAGTCGCTAGTTCGATTCCCTGTCAGGGCACATGCCTGGGTTGTGGGCCAGGTCCCCAGTGGGGGCCATGTGAGAGGCAACTACACATTGATATTTCTCTCCCTCTCTTTCTCCCTCCCCTCCCCTCTCTCTAAAAATAAATAAACAAGATCTTTAAATAAAAAATAAATAAATAAACAAAAAACCCTGATATCAATCCCTTCCCAAGTACCATTCACCAGCACCAAACCCCTATGAGCCCATCCTGTGTTGGCTGGATTCATGTCCCTCTTGTGATACACAAAGGACTCGTCCACTTCCCTCCCAGTTAAGCAGTTACATTGAACACCAATGATGAAACTCATAAGGTAAAACTAAAGAGATGAGTAACCAGCACTGTCATAGAACTAAGCACAAACGGACCAAAGGAAAAAGATTTATGTGAGTGACAACAGAAAACTGGCAGAATGAAAAATACAAATATACAACCCACTTCGAAAATAATTAGACAAATATCCATGATAAAAAGCATCCCTTGATGGAAGGGGGAAATGCTTAGGAGACTAGTTTTTCCAAAGAGCCATAAGTGAAGAATCAAACAAAGAACTGCATGGAAAGAACTGCAGGGAAAACTGAAGTTCTAACAATGCTAGCAAACACATTTAGACTCAAAACACAAGGAGTGAGAGCTTCATCTAAAAGCTACAGGGCATGTGCTACTGTGGATTTTAGTGGCCAGTTTTGTAAATCACAATGGCAACTGTTGTTGCTGAGAACTTCAAGATTCCCTATAATATCTGCATACTCCTCACACATTTCTCCTCAAAGATTCTCCTCAAAGCATAGATATCAAGAGGAATCCTCTTGACCACAACATCACTTATGAAAGAATAACATCAGTATATCCCCAGCAATCTTTGTCCCCAAAGCCTCCAAAACAGATAGCTACATACATGGAAAACTGCTGCCCTGGCCTCTGAGGGCCCCTGTGATTTTTACTACTTGTACCTCAGCTTAAGGGACAAGAAGGATGGTAATTGAAACGTGTCTTCAGCTCAAAACACAACACATCACATACCAAGCACTCTTGTAACCACATGCAGATAAAACTACTTTTTGCCGTGGATGGTACAGATCAGTACATTAAGCACCGAATCCCAGTCCAGGCACATGCCTGGGTTGCAGGCCCTGTACCCAGACAGGAGCATCCAAGATGCAACCAATTGATGGTTCTCTCACATATCAATGTTTCTCTCCCTAACTCTCTCCCCAATGCCCCTCTGTCTAAAAGGAAATAAAATATCTTTAAGAAAAGTTTATGGGAACAAATAGGTTGAAAAATGAAGAGATATAAAAAACATTCCATACAAATAAAAACTAAGAGAGCAGGAATAGATAAAATTCTATCATACAAAATACCCGACCTCAATCACTATCACAAGGAAAAAGACATCCTAAAATGATAAAGGAGTCAGTTCATCACAAGGAAAACAAGTTAGTTATTATTTATCCAACCACAGAGCACTTAAGTACATAAGCAAACAATATAAGATCTGAAGGCAGAAAATATGACCCAAAAGTACTAGACAAGTTAAATATTCCCCTTTCAACAATAGGTAGATATAACCAATTAAAAGCAACAAAGAACTGCTGAAATTTAACTACATTTTAGAGAAAACAGAACTAATAAATACATACAAAATATTTTATCCACCCTTGGTCCGGTGGCTCACTTGTTTAGAGAGTTGCCCAGTGCACCAAAAGGTAATGGGTTTGATTTCCAGTGGGGGTGCCTCCAAAAGGCAACCAAGTGGTACTTTTCTCTCACATTCATGTTTCTCTCTCTCAATTCCTTCGCTTGCTCTAGTAGTCAGTAAACATACCCACAAGTAAATATTTAAAATATGTATGTAAAAATTATAAACAAGGATATAAAAAGTACCCTGGCTGGTGTGGTTCAGTGACTTGAGCACCAGCCTGCAAACCAAAGGGTTGCTGGTTTGATTCCCAGTCAGAGCACATGCCTGACTTGTGGGCCAGGTCCCCAAGTTGGGGGTGCATGAGAGGCAACCACACACTGATGTTTCGCTTCCTCTCTCCCTTCCCAACCCTTCTCTAAAAATATCTAAAAAAAATCTCTTTTAAAAAATTAAAAAAAAAATATATATATATATATAAAGTGCTTTTCTTTACTAATCAATGAGAAATCCACTAAGCTTCTACAAACACTATTGACCTCAAACCCTTCCCTATGAAGGTTCAGTGCAGCAGGTGAAGCAGGCTTCAGGGAGAGATGAAGCATGGAAAAAAAACATGCCTTACAAGGTACAAGGACTACAAAGAAAACTGGGCAAGCAAACAGTGTACACACAGTCCACACATGAGGACAGAGCAACCACTGAAGAATGAAGGGCACGGAGAAAATGCAGTCTACTTGAGGTCACTGGTGAGTGTGAGGGTGTTATTTTTTGTTTTTGTTTTTGGAAGATGAGAGTTAAGTTTATTATGTTTGGGCAATGAAGCAAAAAGAATGGCTCCTGAAGACAGGGTCAGGGGTGACCCAAGACCTGTTACTGTTGTCCTTTGCTCCCTGGGTACAACTCTGGTCAACACCCTTAGACTTTGAGATGGAAGAAATGGCAACCCTGAGGAAATGGGGGCGCAGGTCTACTGAAGGCAGCAGTGAAGGGAGAATCAATGTCTTACCCAATGAAGATATAAGAGCAAAGTTCTCCAGCATCACATCAAGGTACAGGTGTCTCTGAGCCTCATCAAGGAGGAGCCACTCAGTCCTCGAGAAATACACGGCGACATCCTCAAAGGTCACAACAACCTGTCAAAATTAATACAAATAAATCCAGAACAATCTGCCTGAAATCCTGAAATCCAAATGTTAACCACACCAAAACCCTTGCAGGGCTCCCAGTTCAAAGACAATTGGTCCCAGAGCTGACCGCGGTCTCATCACAGTCTCATTAATCACTCTCATTGCCCTCAGCACAGGCAGGCAGGATAAGAGGAAGTGGGGCAGATAAATTCCATCTAAACTTGTGGCCATGTCTGAAGGGCCCCCTTCTTCCTGCTAAACAATTCCATTAAGTCTCCCAGATCATGCCTTCAAAATAGAGCCAAATATGGTCTTATGCTTCACCCTTAAGTCCCAGGTAACTCGGGCAATCATCTCACACTTCCTCTAGCTGTGCATACCACTGTGTGATCTCTACCTCCTTTACATCTTCACACCCAGGTTCACTCCCTCAGCTATGTCACCTTTACCCTCCTCATGTACAAAAGGGCCACCACTTTTGCTTGATTCTATTTTTGACCCTTCCACAGATTTCCAGACTCCATATTCAGTTTCCATTCACTGCTCTTTGAAACTTTAAAAAATGTTAATCAAAAGAACATTCTGATATTCCTAAAGAGAGTTAACCTACCTACCAAAATCTCCCCCAGCCCAGCTGAATGG